GCCCTGACCGGGAATCGAACCATGACCTCCTGTTTCATAGGTTGATGCTCAACCACTGAGCCATGCCAGCCGGGCTGCACCTGTGCTTTGGACCCCTTTCCCTCTCACCTTCTCAGGGATCTTGCACAATGAAGTGTCTCCTCTCTACTGTATCTTCAACCTCCCAGTTCTTAATCCCATCACCATTTTAATCATGCTCAGTTCTCTCCCATCCTAAAAAAATAAAACCTTTGTTCCTTGACGCTGCCTCATTCCTTAGCTGCGACTTCATATCCCTACAATTAAGCTATTTGAGAGAGTTTCCATTTCCTCACTTCCCATTCATTTCCTCGTCCCTGACAATTTGGCTTCTCTCCCCATCATTAAACTGAAGCTGTGTTCATTAAACTCCCTGTTGCTAAGTCCCACACACATCTCAGTGCTTACCTTACTTGTCCTTTCAGACCGATCAATCAACACTTTTCATTATGCCAGCCTTCCTGGACTGCTCTTCCCACTGGCTTCTGTCATCTCTCTTTCTTGTCTCACCTTTCCAGCTTCTCCTGCTTAGTCTCTTGTACAGGTTCCTCTTCCTTTACCCATTCCCTAAAGGAGTCCCTCTTGAACCTTCTTTTATTACATTTGTGTGTGTGTGTGTGTTTATTGTGGTAAAATATACAGAAAATAAAAGTTATCTTTTTAACCATTTTAGGTGTACAGTTCAGCTCTCTTCATTCTACAAAGTCCACCTCGGTAATCCCATCCAATCTTGTGACTTCACTTAATATAATAAAGGCTTCCAATTCCACATCCCCAGTCTACACCTCTCTCAGGAGCTCCAGATCCATTTTCTGCTGCCCACTGAATATTTTTACTTGCATGTACTATAGACAGCTCAAACAGAACACGTCCCAAACTGAAGTCAGCTCTCCCCACAACCTCTCACCTCCTACCTACCAATCAGTGTCTTCTCTCCTTTGTTTCTGGTCTCAGTGTTTGCTATCACATCTGGCTGCCCAAACCAGAAACCAGTCACTCTTGATCCTCTCTATACCCCTCTTACCCAACCAATCACCATGTCCTATTATTGCTTTCTCCTTCATAATTCCTGAATTCGTAAACTTATCTTCATTCTTACTATGGCCACTTTTGTTTAGACCATCATTGCTCTTTTGAATGGTTTAAAAACTCAGCTACTACATGTCTTGTCTCCACTTTGCTTTGCCTAATTCCTTTTTCCTAGAGTAGCCCAAGTGATCTTCTGAACTCTGATCCGGCCACCTTCCTGCTTAAAGCCCAATAACTTTTGGTTAGTCTCAAGATTAGATCCAATCTCCTTCACATACTGTATATGGCTACTGATCTTTCTAGCCTTATATCTCAACTCAGTCTCCCTTATATCCTACAAACTACGCAAAATACCACCAATTGGTCAAGCTCTCTCTTGCCTATAGGTCTTTCTATATTCTTCTCTCAGCTTAGAGTCCTTCCCTGTCTCTCCGCCCCCGCCCCTCCCCCCCACTCCCACACTTTACCTGGATAACTTCAGCTTAGTTTAGATACTATTTCTTTTGGGAAACCTTCCTCAATATCTTCTAAACTCACTAAGAATTCTCCTACGTATTCCCTCACCACTTTGCACTAACTCTTATCATGGCACTTACTACACTGCACTGCACTTGCTTGTTTACTTGCTGTCTCTGCCCCTGAAGACCTGGCAATGACTTGAGGGGAGGACTCTGACCGCTATAGTCCAGTGCTAGTATGGTGGTTGGCACATAGTGTGTGCCAGATACATATTTAATGAGTGAATTACAGACAGAAAGAAGCAAAGGCATTTCAGACAGAGGGAATGACGAAGACAGACTCACGTTGTTGAATCATCTAAGATGAACAGCTCCGTACTGAAAACCAACACTCGAGGGCTACTGGGGAGAGAAAACACAGAGATGCAACGGGGAAAGATAAACTGCAACCTTATTTCAAGGACACTCACCATAGGAGAAGGTGTCTGGCATGGGGACCCCATGTCCAGCCAGCTCTTGGAATGTCCAGAACTTGTTGATGCAGTTTAAAATACTCTGCGAGCGATTGACTAGGCGGCAGCCCAACTTCTCCAGGTGTCGCAGGACGGTGATGTCACTGTCCGACTGCAGCGAGGGTGTGGACACCCGAACAAGCACCACATCCGGGAAAGTGGTGAGTGCCTTCTGGTTCAGCTGTAGGCCTGCAATTGAAGGAGAAAAGTGAGCCCTTTCCTTCCGTTGTCTATCCCCACCAGAACTGGCTCCAACAGACTCCTCAAGACTGAACCCAGCAGGAAGATAACCTTGGAAAGGGCACTTGAATATCCTGTTGTAACAAGAAAGCTACAGTCAACTCAATACTCCAAACAAATGGGCAGAGCATGATTATGAGGAAGCACAAAAGAACGAACAGAAAAAAGAGGCAGCGTATCAAGAAAAATCCACATTAGGAGAATCCACAAGGAGATAGTGTAGCCCTGCACCTTCCTTCCGTATGGTACTAGTAGTCCTCGAAGACAGTGGCTTAGGAGACTGGGGGCTTACGGAAAAGGAAGCATGATAGCTCACATAAGGGATCCTTACTACTCTTTTATGACTTAACCATTAAAAGTCTATCTGAAATATGTAAGCATTTAAATAATTTTTATGAATATAATGAATGCAAAAATGCCAATGGTAAGTAAAGAAAACAGGGAACAAAATTATAAATACAAGTTAGTAAAAGCTGAAAGAAAATATAGCAACACTTTAACAGTGGGTAAAGGGATTACAAGTGATTTCCTATTTAAACTTATCTATATTTTCTAAAATGTCTCCAAGTGCATATTACCTTTATAACAAAAAAAACTCTAAAAAATCAACCTACTAAAAATCAATTCATTATTCATCCCTGGCCAGTTTTGCTCAGTGGATAGAGCATTGGCCTGCGCACCAAAGGGTCCTGGGTTCGATTCCAGTCAAGGGCACATACCTTGGTTGCAGGCTCCTCTCTGGCCTGGGCCCTGGTCAGGGCTTATGCAGGAAGCAACCAATCGATGTGTTTCTCTCACATGATGTTTCTATCTTTCCCTCTCTCTTCCACTCTCTCTAAAAATCCATGGAAAAATATCCTCAGGTGAGTATTAACAAAACAAACAAAAATATTCAAACTAGAAGTCATCCAAAGACAGTTGATGCATATGGCAAAAGAATTTGAACTGTATTACACTGGATAGATGGGGATATTAGCTTCAAGTGAGGACTCAGAGGAACAGGAGTGCAGTCTGTAGGGTGTCCATGGATAAGAACTATTTGGCTTGTCTTCTATGACCCCAAGTGGTAGAGCTATCCATGAGTTATCCATGTCTCTTTACTTCTGTATCTCCAGCCCCTAGAACAGTGCCAGGTACAAGATAGGCACTTGATGTCTTCTGAATTGTACTGAAGCTACAGGGAGGATTTGGGATCAACAAAAGGGATACTTTTTCAGTGCCTTAGGATGGAATGGGCTGAGGCTCATTGGACACCTGAGAATGGCATGGAGGAAATGCAAAGATCAGATAAGCTTACAGCAACCTGCTCGGTCTCTTTCAACCTCGATGTCCTGTGGTTTGTATTACTACGATACAAAACCACAGGACATAGTAGTAATCTAGGCATCTGTGGTGCACCCGGAATCTGGGGATAGAATGATGGAGCCATGAAATGGGATGTAAGAGCAATGAGAACTGAGTTCAGGAAACAACTTGGTCTGCCTTGGTGAACCTTAAAGGAGTTTCCAGAATGCTCTTAAGAAAAACTTTGAGACACAGTTCCAGAACCATCTTACAAGCTTTAACCTAAAGTACCTTCTATTTCAAAAGTGATATGGAGCTATTTTGCCAATTTAGAAAAAGGGAGTAGGTATAATCATGAAGATAAACTGTTTTTAGTACTTCTACTCATAGTATATTCCCAAGGAACCGGGACATAATTATCATGGATGACTTATAAAGAGCATTTATGTTATCTTCACTTAACCATCAGAAAATAGTACCATTTAGATATGCCTTTTTCTTTGCCACTTATAGCCCTGTAGGAAATAATACGAAAGGGGCGGGGGGAGCAAGCCCTGTATAGCAGACTCAAAATTGACAGGAGAAGAAAGAAAAGTACTCAAGTTGGTGCAAATGCTGAGGAAATACACTCAGGGGAAAAGCAACAGCCCAGGGTGACATTACATAATGAGATAAAATATTTAAAAATGCGTTGAAACTAGACAATGCTATCCACAGTCTGTAAGGCGCTGGCATTAGCATTGCACAGACATTCTGCTAAGCAAGGTAAGACAATGGATGGAGACGCATACCACCTGATGAGCAAAACGGCTTTGCAACAGAAAAGTGACCTAGAGAAACGAGAAGCAGCAGAAATGCTTGGCTTTTCAATCCCGACGTGAGACCACAGACGGACAGTAACACTTCCAAATGCGAAGAAAAGACTTCAGTCATTTCTGGAAATATCAACCACAAGTGGACAGAGACAGCTCAGCCTCAACAAGCAGTTCACATAGACCTAGGAAGTCTTACCAGGACTTCATCTCTCTTCTCCAAAGGTAAATCTTTGGGCCTGGCTCATTCCAACTGAAGCCTTTAATAAATGAAGAATGGAATGGGTTAAAGTGTAGCTGAAAAGGCTCTACCAAACAGTTAGATAGGTCAGGGCTCTGACTGTGCTGGCCGTGCAGCTCTGTGCAGAGAAGGGCACGGCAGGTTTAGGAATAAGTGCTCACACAACCAGTGACTTCTCTGCCCGTTGGCCCAGCTCCAGCATTCTTGCTATGGGCCACTCCACTTGCCTCCGGTTCATTCCTGCCCTCTGGTGTCTAAACCTAGCTTATATCACCATGCCTAAAAGTAGTAGACAAGAGGCTGCCCCTCACTGTGGCTTCAGTGGGGGCAGCAGTTCCACACAGACAAGGCCAAGAACAATATGGGTGTACATCTGGCCTTGGCAAATCTGTCAGTGAATTCTGAGACCATCAACCATGTACGTAATCACTCCCCCTCTCTTCATTCATCTCTCTCCTTAGGAAAGATAAACAATACAGGATGGACCTCAATGTGTCACCCTTCCCAGGATCCACTGTAATCTACAGGCTTCAAGCCAAAGGAATGAAGAGCTGATGCAAGACATCGGGGCGGGCAGGGCTCTGCTTGGCTGCCAGAGAACGGAAGGAAACCCCTCAACAGGGAGAGGCTCAGGCCCTCAAACCACAAGGGATTTCATGAGCTGCAGCGCCCTAGTGCTCTGGGGCATCACCCTGGCCTCGGGAGCAGGGCAGGGAAAAGGGAACTGAGTTGCTTCTGGGATATTTGGGGTCTCCCAGACTCGTAGGTCGGGCTCGACATGCACTATTTAGCCTCAATAACATTTTCTCCACATAAATTCTCAAAACAATAATCTACTTTCAAGGGTAATTATATTCTGATTTCCTTTGAACTCTCCATTGTTTATATTTGGAAATATTTTAATTATTAAAAACAAGATAGAAAAATGTGTAACTTTTCCCAAAGAATTGAGCCCATTTCCTAATTTATATATTGAGTTAAACTAAGTTCACCCTACAAAACTAGACTGCTGCATTTGTATGTACTACAGCAAAGAAATACACTTTATAATACAGAGAAATAGCTTTAGAAATAAGCAAATCACTATTGGAACATAAAGCTCTAAAAATTAAAAACCACTCTCATCATTCATATCAACAGAGGGAAGCAGCAGCAGGGATAAATAAAAGGTGCAGTCATTCGGATCTGAATTTGGCTCGCATTTTTATTGAGCATCTGTTGTGTTTTACGTACTTTGCTAAGAGCTTCCACATATATTATCTCAGTTAAATTAGAGATGTCTTGGAATATGGACCCCTGCAATAGATCTGATTGTAAAAGTCTTTGCCCTTACGTGGAACTGATACATAATGGGTCCCTACCCTCTCAACCCATGCACGTACAGCACTAATTTATGTGCACACGCACACACATCCTTAGCTTTACAAAGAAAGCTTCAAAACAAAACTGGTTCCTTGTATGCCAGAAAAAACAACCACCCTCATCTACAAGGCCAACAGCAAAAATAACAGAAAATAGGACACTGTGCATGAGGGCAAGCAGGGACCTCCGTTATGGCAGCTTTTAGAACCACTATGTTAGCAGGATCAGGTAACAACAGTGGCTGGTAGTGAAGCTCTGAAAGTTGTCAGAAAGGAATCAATAATATAAATAAAGTAAGTGGATAACCCATTAAGGGCTTCACATTATGTTGTGTTATGAGAAGATGTGTCACCTGAAATCTGACCTGGCTCATCGCACACTCCAGGTTCTCCCTCAGTGTTTTCTACTCTGCCCTCAGCATTTTCTCATAAGGAAAGGTTATTTTTATTCTTAACAAGTAGATGCCACTGCCACTCCTCCTGCCCTTTTAAAGTTCTTTGTTACAACCCCCAAAGAAATCTCACCTCCACCTCATTAAAACCTGGTGATGATGTGGCCACTTTCTCCTTCTACCAACTGCTGTTTTGAGGACATTTAATTCCAAGCAACCTTTACTGAACTGTTGGAACGAGTCAGGCACACTATGAAGCAGGCACACAAAGATAAGCCAGGTGGTCTCTGACTACCGGGAGCATATAGTCTCCTTATGGAGAAAAAATTACACTCAAATATTCATTCACCCACCCACTCACTCAATACACAGTTATTGTTTCATGCATTCATTGAGCCAATATTTACTTAGCACCTACTTTGGGCCAAGCCCGTTGTTAGTTTGGGTTTCCCCAGAACTCCCAGAAAGGAGGACTTAAGTGGATGAGGTTTATTATGATGGTGATTAATATCAGGAAACACTATTAGTGAGTAGAGAAGAGAATGAGGTAATACGGGTGTGTTATCAACAGAGCAACCACCTTGGCCATGGGCTTAATCCTGCCGCACAAAAGTAAGAAATGGCTCACTACACACACGTCAGCTATCCCACTCAAGGGGCAAGGGAGCTGGCGAGGTATAATTTTTAATACACCAACTCAGTCTTTGGTGGAGAGCTACTCCAGGGGCATGGTCTTAAATCCCTGGTCCTTCTGGCTTGCCATGCCTGTGTGGGCTAAATGGCCACGCTCCTGTGACAGGTTCAGGTGCTGATGGCTAGAAGTGGGGCCCTATCGAATGGGGGAGCCACTGATAGCTAAGGAACAGGCACCATCTTAAGGGCGGGGAATGGGGGGTGAGATGTATGAATGAAACAAACACTATTCCCTGGAATTTAAGAAAGACAACACACAGCTGTGATTAATGCCATGGATGCCCTCCTCAGAGCACCTAGGTATTAAGAAAAATTATCAGTCTGGTTTGGGGGGGTGGGCAAGGAGGCGACCTTTTACAACATGTGAGAAGCGCTGGAGGGAGCAGGTAGGTGACCACCTCTGAGGGAGAATCAAGGAAGGTTTCAGAAGGGAGATGTTGACTCATGGTGCCTCTGGGCTCAGAAGAAATGTGTAAAACTAATAAATGTATAATGTCTACCTCTCCGAAACAAATCGATAGGAACAGCACAGCATCTTACAAGCACTGAGCTCGGGATATCTGATATCTCAGGGCTAACCTATTTTTAAAGCACTTCAAGAAGCTGAGACAACATGAGATGAAAGACAATTATGGCAGAGTGGCCCCCAAGTCAGAGGCTTGATGTAATTCCTCGCGGTCCTTTAATGGCTTGGCAAGGCAAAACTCTCTGGGTCTGTTTTCTCTTCTGCAAAATGGAAGGGTCCCAGAGCTTGGAACCCTCCCCTTTTCAGGTCCCTCCCTCATCCCTTCCCCACCTCACCATCTGGATCTTTCTTGCAACCATGAGACAAATTTCATCCCTTCCACGTCAGTCACCCAGGACTCCAGTCTCCAAGGCTACGTCATGTCCCTGAACTCTAAGCTCCACCTGGCTCTGACTTGCCTTTTCTACTCCCACCTTCCACTCCGTCCTATCTCCACTGTGCCCGGGGGGACTCAATGGGCAGCAAATCCCTTACCTTCACACTTTCAGTGTGTGTTCCCTTTGCCTTCTTTTTCTGGGTCCCACTGAACCCCAGCTCTCCCCAGTAACACTGCTTACAGCAGCTCCACCAAGTTGTGGCTGTTTCCTCTCTCTTACACCTGGGATTACTGGGTCAAGAGGCAGGACAGATGTGCTCCTTGCTCCGTGGCTTCCAGCACATTCTCTTCTCCCTCCGAAAACACCCAGCCTGACTCTCATCAGACTGCACAGCATCCAACTTGTGCAAGTTAGCTAAGGACCCTGGTTACTCCCCTCTGTCCCGGAAGCTTTAGCTCCTGACTCACTGATTCTCCCATATGCTCACAGATGTGGGTGATTTCAGTGTCCATATGGAGAACTCTTCCAATGCCCAGGCCTGTTTCTTGAGCTCCTTTTCTCTAAGAGTCTTATTCACTACCCCACCTCAGCCACCCCTTTCAGCTACAGTCTAGACTTCATGTATTCGTCATAATTCCAATCCCAGCCACTGTCTCCTATCTTTCTAGCTTCCCCCAACTCCAGCCACACTTAGACCCCATCAGGAACTACCATGCATGGATCCCTCATCTTTTCACTGTCCCTCACCCCCTTCCTACCCTCTTTCTCTTTTACTCTATTTAAATTCCATAGACAAGAACTATAACTTAAACCCTCAAGTCCTTGTACCTGTTTCTTGTTTGGCTAAATCACAACCCTGGTTAGACTGCCCCAACTCTCTGCCTACTCTGGGCCGTCCCGTGCAATGAAACCAATCTGGATTAAAAACACCCAAACCAGCTGTCCGGTCTCAAGGGCATCCCTATTGCTGTGCAATAAGCATTATAGTCCCGAGTCCATTCACTCTCCCACAACCCTACACAACTGGTTCACAATTTCTTTTCCTGCCTCAAACCTTCACTATTTCCTCCCTCCTTCTCATGCTCACTCTTCCTATTTTGATGAGAAAACCCAAGGCAATCAGAAAAGAACTTCTCTAAAATCTCGCACCAGCACATCTACTTGCACACACACCTGTACCTATGCCATACAGATGACCTTCTCTCTTATTTTGATGGCTGAAGTATCCTTGCTCCTAGCTTAGACCAACTCCTTGAAACATACAACAGATCCCAACCCCTCTCGCCCAGTTAAGGCACTTTTCTGGCAATTCACCTCTCTCCTACTTGCCAGTTTCTCTCTCTGCTGGATTACTCACACCAGCATGTAACATGCTGTTACTTCTCCCTTCTTTAAGAAACGCCTCTCACACCCATCTCCCCTTTGAGCAAAGTCTCAGTAACCAAGTTCCACAGACTGGGTGGCTTCTCACAGCCCTGAAGACTGGAAGTCAGATATCAGGATGTCAGCAGGGTTGAGTGCTGGTGAGAGCCCTCTTCCTGGTTTGCAGAGAAGGCAGTTGCCTTCTTGCTGTATCCTCACATGGCAGGGA